GTGTGTGTGTGTGTGTGTGTGTGTGTGTGTGTGTGTGTGTGTGTAAGTGCACAGAGAGCTTATGTAACCCAAAGTCACACAGAAGGAAATGAGAGAGGCCAGGATTTTTGTCTTTATTATTTTATTTTAGTATTTTGAAACAGGATCTTACTCTCACCCAGGCTGGTCTGGAACTCACTATGTAGCCCAGGCTGGTCATGGCTTTTTTTTTTTTTTAGACAAGCTGTCACTATATACCTCTGGCTAGCCTGGAACTTACTATGTAGACCAGAGTGGCCTGGAACTGATAGAGATCCACCTGCCTCTGCCTCCAAAGTGTTGGGATTAAAGGCCTGAACCACCCACATCTGGTTACAGCCCAGATTTGAACTCAAGTCTTCAACCCAAAAAGCCATGTTTGATCATAAAGTTCTTTTCCTGGGATCTGGTTGTTGGAAAGAGAAAAGCCAGTCTGTTATCTAATCCATTTACACCAGATTTTTTTCATTGAAAATAAGATTGAGGGAAAAGGAATCTATTAAGGGAATAGGCTGTGTTTGGTAAGTGTACTAAGGATGGAAATGAACGTTAGAGGGAGAGAAAACTCTGGAGTCAAAACAACATTTCCTAGCAGAAGTCATTAAGTGGGCAACTTATGGGTTTTCTTGGCCTTCTGAGAGGCTCTTGTGCAGGGGCCAGGAGGAAACGGAGTAGGCATAGGTCTACTACCTTTAAGGGTGCTTGGTAATAGCCTCCCAGAATTTACTATGTACTGGGCTACACGAGGAAACAAAATACAAAAAACCATTACTGCCTTGACAGTATGGATCTGGGCTTTGGACTTTCTCTAAACTGAACCTTTGGCTCTGGAGACGCTTGGGCCTTCGGGGAGAACTTTTTACTCAGGTATCACTGGCAAAAAAAAAAAAAAAAAAGGTCACATCTTTGATTTTCTACCTCTGTCCTTCCTCAGAGCAGTTTCGACAGCCAGATGCCAAGGGAGACCTTTCCTGAGGCACTGTGTGCCAGCTCTTCAGATTAAGGGATCAGGGACTGAGGCCCTGTAGGCCCTTCTGTTGCCAGGGTAATGCTGAGTCAGGCCCAGGCCTCTGCATCAGCCTTCTGGGAAGTGATTTGGCTGCAGAATCGTCTTGCTTCTCATAGTGCGAACCTTTACATTTCAATTTCTTCAAAATCAATTTTGAATTGATCAAGTTTGGTTTCTTGAAATGTGGATTCGAAGTAAACACATACAATTTAACTTTTCTATTTCTGACAAAGGATAGCTGCAGAATTAAAAAAGTAAAAAGAAAGAAGAAAAGGAGTTAGTCTAATACTACTGATTGCAGCCTTACATAATAACTGGTCTGAAGTCATCGCTCAGAATTTTATTAAGGATAATGACAATAACCTACACCTCATTGACTGTTACCACGTTCTAGGCATTGTGCAAGACAAACGCTTCTGTTTCATACTGTGACAAGCTATGAAATTGCTGATACTGTTCCTTCTAACAGGTGAAGTTCGGACATCAGCCCAAACTTGCATGGCCAGAATTTAACCTAAGCTCAGCCCCAAAGTATTGGCTGTCGTGCCTCTCAGTTTCTATCTGGATGATCCTTAATAAAAAGAAGGCAAAAACTGCAGCTCTGACTCTCGTGGGCACCTCAGTTACGCCTGGACCTGGCCAAAAGCAGCCATCCTCCAACCCTGTCACACAGCAGTGGGACATGCAGCACGTTTTCCTTAGCCGAGAGCTGGTAGCTGTTGCTCACTTACTGAGATGGGACTCGGAGAAGACTTGTCAGTTTGCCTGTTTGTCAAAATGATGGCTGTAGTGATGTGAGCTACTTTGGGTCCTGAGGTTAGCAAGAGGCTACAACCTCCTGAGGGTCTGTCTGAGGAGAGACCTCAGTAGACTTGTGCACTGATCAGAGCAGCAGCTGGCGAAGGAGACTCTCTTTGGTTTGGTTTGGTTTTTGGTTTTTCAAGACAGGGTTTCTCTGTGTAGTCCTGGCTGTCCTGGAACTCCTCTGTAGACCAGGCTGGCCTCGAACTCACAGAGATCTGTTGTGGAATATCTTGTGTCTCTGCCTAAGGTGCCTTCTAATTGGTTTAATAAAGAACTAAATGGCCAATAGCTAGACAGAAAAAAAAAAAAAAATAGGTGGAACTTCCAGACAGAGAGGGGGAAACTGAGAGGAGGAATCTAGGTGCGATTTTGCCAACAGACTAGGAACAAGTCAGATGTGCTGTACTAAGAGGAGGTAACTGGGCCACATGAAAAAACGTAGATTAAAAACATATGGGTTAATTAAGTTATAGAGACTATTGGGGGAAAAAAAGCCTAAGCTAAGGCTAAGCTGTCATAAAAGTCTCCAGGTCATTATTTGAAGGCTGGTGATCCAAAGATAGTTCAACAAGAAAACTTGCTACAGAGATCTGCCTACCTCCAGAAGGAATGATACGTGTGTGTGTGTGTGTGTGTGTGTGTGTGTGTGTGTGTGTGTGTAAGTGCACAGAGAGCTTATGTAGCCCAAAGTCACACAGAAGGAAATGAGAGAGGCCAGGATTTTTGTCTTTATTATTTTATTTTAGTATTTTGAAACAGGATCTTGCTGTCATCCAGGCTGGTGTGGAACTCACTGTGTAGCCCAGGCTGGTCTCAAATTCATGAGTTTTTTTTTTTTTTTTTTTTTTTTTTTTTTTTGTTAGACAGGCTGTCACTATATGCCTCTGACTGGTCTGGAACTTACTATGTAAACCAGAGTACACATACATCCCATCAGGAAACAGATGTAGACAGGTGTTCCAGCAGGAAAGGAGAATCTTATAAGAAAAGGGCACTAATAAAGTAAGACCCTGTCTCTGTGCTACAGGGTCAGCTACCATCCCTCCCCACAGCAATAAGAAGGAATCCTAAACCAACCCAGGCCGACTTTGAACTGGTGATATTCCTGACTCAGGCTCCAGAGTAACTGGGATTACAGGTGCCACCAGGCCTGGCTCAGAAGCTTTGATTGTTTTGTTTTTCAAGACAAGGTTTCTCTGTGTAGCCCTGGTTGTCCTGGAACTCTATAGACTGGCCTCAAACTCAGAGATCCCCCTGTCTCAGCCTCCTAAGTGCTGGGATCAGAGGTATGGCTCTTATCATTCTACCAGAATCCAAGATAAAAATTTTGTGTCGCGGCTGGAGAGATGGCCCAACAGTTGGCTGATCTTCCAGAGGACCAGGGTTTGATTCCCAGCACCCACATGGAGCTCACAACTGTTAGTAACTCCAGTCCCAGGGGATCTGCTGCCCTCTTCTGGCCTCCCAGGACACCAGGAATACATGTGATGCACAGATGCTCATGCAGGAAGAATACCCATACATAAATGTGTGTGTGTGTGTGTGTGTGTGTGTGTTTACCTAGTTGAGCATAGTTATCAATGAAAATTGCATTGATTTTGTCCAAAAGTAGTACATTGGTTCTCACAATTTACTTCCCAATAATTTAATAATTCGTGTTAAACTAAAATTATTACTCACTTCCCTTTTTAATCCTGTGGTTGCTTAACTTGAATTAACCAGTGCCTTATTCAACCAAAAGTTTGTGATACATCTTCAAGTAAATTTTGGGAACAAAAATGTAAAAGGTTTCAGAATACTGGGGGTGGGAAAAAAGCTGCAGCAGCCGAGTGTGGTGGCTCACGCCTTTAGTCCCAGCACTAGGGAGACAGGGTCAGACAGATCTCTAAGTTCCAGACCAGCCACTGCTACATGGTGAGACCCTGTCTCAAAAAGCAAACAAGTAATATGATAATAATACCAAAACAAACAAAAAAGCCAATAACCAGACCAACTGAGATGATCTCTGTACATTTAATTCAAACAGTAGACATATTGAGAGAAATAGAGATGCATTTTTCTTGCCAGCTGCCTGGAGTCTTGGAACAAATATTAACTTCACCCAAACAGACTCGGGTGTTCATTTTACAGAAAAGATTAACTCGCCTTAGTACATAATCACAGAATTTGAAATTTTTACTTAAAACTTTTTTCCCCTCAAATGAAAATAGTGGGATTTTTTTTCCCCCTTTCTGGCTTTAAAAGGAATTTCTGAAATTTTTTCTTTGGTTTTTCTAAGACAGGATTTCTCTGTGTAGTCCTGGCTGTTCTGGAACTCACTCTGTAGACCAGGCTGGTATTAAACTCACAGAGATCCACCTGCCTCTACATCCCGATTGCTGGGATTAAAGACACGCACCACCACTACCTGGAGAATTTCTGAATTCTAAACAACAAACACTTTTAGGTGAGCAAATGACTTATTTTTGTGCTAATCAATGTCTCTCCTAAGTGTGATGGAAGAAACGTGTGTTAGGTGCCATCTGGATGAGGACTTGTAGCCCTTTGCACACCTGGAATGTCAACATGAAGTGTGTCACTAGGAAGAGCAAGGGCGGCGGAGAACGCACTCTGTACGGAAGGGTGGCCATGGTCTCATTTCCCAAGTGCTGGAACAACCAGA